CCCGGAGGGCCGCGCGGCTCGGAATAGCCGCGGCGGGGCGGGCCCGGAGAGCCGCGGGTTCGAGCCCCGGTGCCGCCGGAGAGCCCCGCACTCCTGGTGCAACGGGAGAGTCTCAGTAGTTGTGCTAGTTTTTAATACATTTATAGTTCCACTATACATATTTAATATATTTACATGTTTAAGATTTTTTTTTGTATATTATATTATTCTAAAGAGAGCTCAAGTAGGATTTGGCCAATGGTCCCGGCGGGGCGGGCCTCGAGAGCCGCGGGTTCGAGCCCCGCTGCCGCCAGAGAGCCCCGCACTCCTGGTGCAACGGCAGATTCTTAGTTGTTGTGCTAGTTTTTAATACATTTATAGTTCAACTATACATATTTAATATATTTACATGTTTAAGATTTTTTTTTTGTATATTATATTATTCTAAAGAGAGCTCAAGTAGGATTTGGCCAATGCTCCCAACACTCAGTAGGGTGTCCTGAGCAGGGCCAAGACTCAAAGATCCTGATGGGTCCTCTCCAATTCAGCATATTCTATGATATTTTTAATATATTTATTTCTGATGTATTTTTACTTTTTATATTTATGGCTTCACCTAAGTTAACTAACTTGCCTCCAGAAGTTGACATGGTAAGCTACAATTCTTCCTTAAAAACACAGTTTTGCCAGCATTCCATCACTCGTGTGTTGTTTCCTCTCCTGCCCACCTCTTCTATGATATTTTTAATATATTTTTAATGTATTTTTACTTTTTATATTTATGGCTTCACCTAAGTTAACTAACTTGCCTCCAGAAGTTGACATGGTAAGCTACAATTCTTCCTTAAAAACACAGTTTTGCCAGCATTCCATCACTCGTGTGTTGTTTCCTCTCCTGCCCACCTCCCCTTATTTTAAACTCACACTTTCAGTGCATTAGTTTACGTTGCAGCATTAAACCTGTGCAGAATGCTCTAAGGAAACTCAAATTACTTTTCCTTCAGTCAGTGAAGATACTGCAGTTCAGCCTAAGCCAACAGGGAAGGTACAGGAGAATGCAGATGGTTTTAACTCAAGCTGCACCACCCCCCTGCACTGAGGCAGGTGCTGAGCCCAGTTCTGCACCTGTGAGAACACAAGGGTTAACTCAGCCCAGCACCTTCTCCCCACACAAACCCATGGCACTGCCACAGCTCATTTTACCACACAAATGGAACCTTTCCTGCACTGGGAAAACACAGAAAAGCTTCATGTTGGAAGGCTGCAGGGACAGCAAGGCCCTTCAGCCACTCCCCACAAATTTCCAGTCCATGGTCAAATCAAAAGAGAATTGCTTTTTAAAATGAGGCGGGCATTAAGCTCTGCTAAGAGTTTCTAAATACTGGATTCTGTGTGGCTGATGGATATTAATAGTATAGGAGAAAGATTTTCTCCTTTACTTTTTTTCCCAAATGCTAAGAGTAACTAGAACTGTGAAACAATCTCTACACTTCAATTTCCATGTGTAACTGAAGTATGCAAATGTTGCCACCACATTTTAGAGGCATGCTAATATCTTTAATTTGGTTATTCTTGGAAATAAACACAACGCCATCCAACAAATTTAATATTTCACCATATCCGAGGAAAATTCTGTTATGCACTTACACACTTGTAGTAAAAGAAACTGAAACACCCCAAAAGACTTTTGATCTATGCAGAGAAATACAATTTATTTAAATAATCTCTGATCCGGGTCTTCTTGTACAAAAATAAATTCTTCAAGAGGGGTTTGATGATCTGTCGGCCAACAGCTTCTCTCACATGTGTAAACTATAACAGTTCCAAATTCCACTGACAGATCTAAAAACAAAGCAACACAGGTACAAAAGGGTATGAAAAGTGACATAATCAGGAGCTAGTGCTTACCACTAGACATGGTAAAAATTAATTCAGTCTCTTCTGTAAACAGCATTTTCTACTGTTAAACATTTTAAAAGCAGCCAAATTAGAATTTTCAAAGGGATTTTTAAGTGTCTGCAATCTCATCTCACAGCGTTTATTATCTTCCAAGGCCTCCTTTAAGAGGCAATAAAGACAAATACTCCCATGGCCATGGAATTATCCCTACTGCAGTTATTTAATTCACTAGTGAACAACTCCAGCTCTAATCAGAGTCTCCATGAAGCAGAGCTCTCCCTTTGCTCACTGAAATCTGTAATGGAGACAGCAGATTCTCTGAACACCACCACTGTGGTTAAGCACGTGTGGGTAGCTGCAAACAACCCAAACTGCAGTTCACTGCACTCTCCCAAAAAGGAGACTGCAAGAAATATTGACTGAGCCAAGCCAAGCACCTGAGTCACTCTGGAGCATGCTGACCAGCGTGGGCATCAGCTGGAACTCAAACACTCTGCTGCTTCCACAGACACTGCAGGCTGGAATATCCTGGTCCAGGTTGGCTGGAGGACACGTGATGAACAAAGGCTGGCCACCCCAAGAGTATCTGAGAGAAGACAGGGAGGAGAAAATTATCATTTTTAAAATATCTAAATTTGATAGGAAATCTTATGTGCTCGAAAGAAAGTGTTCAGGAGTTGCTGAAATCTCTGAACCTGCTTTAAGTAAATACATGGTTGTGAGTCAGAAGCTTCAAAGGAGTCATGAACCAAAAAATAAAAACAGGGAGGGGGAAGTACTTGGTAGGTTAATGCTTGGAAAATCTTAAGGAAAGAGCTGGATTTAGAGGAGACAAATGCTTTGAATGGACATCTCCAAAATATGCTGTACCAGAATAATTTCATTAAGTAAACTACACTTTCCTGAAAAATGGAATTGTAAACAGTGGCAATAAAAATTCAACAAGATTTAATACCAAACAGGTCTCAAAACCACTGTAGTTATGGCTCAGAAGTTATGGTTAATTTGTCAGAGCTACCAGAGATTCACAGCTAGCAGGAAACAAAGACCAAGGATGGTTTCCACTGAATGCCAAGCAAGAGATTCTGTGCTCTGCAGGCAGGGGAAATGGGAGCCTAAGAGCACACTGAGAGTCCCCAGGGAGGGCAAAGGGAGGCTGTGGAAAGACTGTAGCCAGCCCAGGGAGCACCAGAGCTGGTGTTTTAGAGGAATGGCAAATTCAAAGAGCACAACACTGCAAAGAGACAGAGTGCCAGTGCACTCTGCATTAGCAAATCTCCTGTATAATCTTTGACAATTAGTGAAAGTTTCTCATGTTTCATTTGTCTAAGCAGCCACTCAGACTTTTAACTCCTCATCAAAAAGGGTCCAGTTAGTTCCACCTGGTACTGGAAAGTTGGTGAACAAAAGCCCTGTCACTACAGTGAGACAGCCTGACCAGACAGGCAGCACTGGACTCCCCAGAACAGTTGGTGTGATCCATGAAAACCTGTATTTTCTGGTACTATGAATGATTTATGATTTACTCTTCTCTGTATCCTATCCAGAATGAGCTCCTCTCAGGAAGAGCAGCTACTCTGAGGTTACACCTGCTTCTGCTCCAGGAAAAACAGCAGATGTACAAGACCTGAAGACTGCTGGGTGCTGAGGGGAATCCACAATGAGCTGCAGCTCTGGGGCTTTAAAACAAGAAACTCCTTGCAGGACAGACATTAGAAATTCCAAAGAGATCACAAAATTTCAGAGGAGCAGGTAGCCTTGGAAATGTATCACAACAGCACACCACTGTGTTACACTTCCACCTCAACCCTGTCTCTTGGAGATCTCTGAGCCTGGATTTCAGTGAGGCTTCGAAGGCACTCAGGGTCTCTCCTCATGAGGTCTTATGTCTGAAGTCTCCCGCAGCCAGAGCCATGGTCTCTGATCCTGCTTGGCTTTTCTTCTACTTAAACTTTGTATGAAGAAAGCCCAACCAGGGACTGAAGTCTGACCAGAGACATGGCAACAGCCTCTACAGCAGCTTTTTTTAAATTAAGGAATTAAAACATAGACATATTTCCAAATAAAGAATTTATTTTGATGTACCAACCATCCATGCCAATGATTTCTATCTCCCTGTTATAACCAGATTATCAACATACCTTAAAATCTGTTCAGGACATACAGATATTCTTTTCATGAATTTATGGAATGTGTGGTCCCAGTTTTTGACTTCATTCTTCTCATATTTTTCATTACCATCTTCACCTGCAAAACTGTATGAAAAAAAAAAAGAAACAAACTGTCCGGTAAGGTTTCCAATATGACATGTTTTAAATAAGAAATGGTTACTATAAATTCACATTAAATTATACCAAATACACTGAAAAAGATATACGTGTTAAGAGAAAATTCCTGTTAGATGTTGCAAGTGGACATTTTGCTTCTAGTTCTTTGGTTTCTGGTCTCTTACAATTACTAACAGTGTTTTCACCTATCACATTGGACTCAAATCCACCAGATATCTGCTGTATTCCATCAAAAACGCTAATAACTCCTCAAACATTTTTGTGCTTTTTAAATTATGATGTTGTCTTTTTCAATTTTGAATCAAGCCTACTTAAAGTTCTACAATTTTGTAAAGGTCAACAAAAATCAACAGGACCCCACTGCTGAAAAGTCTTCTGTGCAGATTCTGCAGTTGACAGCAGCTTTAGCTATAACCAAATTCAATGCTGTCCCCAATCCAGGCACAAGAGGCTGAAAGTCCTCACGGTGACCACCTAAGTTAAATATTTGTTGAAGAAAATATGTTCAGTAACCAGGCTCAACAACTGTTTTTCAGGCAACCTTTACCAAAGCTTCAGGTGTCTTTCCATCAGCCAGCTCTCTAGCCAAAATCCCTAAAAAGTTAAACTCCTAAAAAAGCAACTGAAACGTAAGAAAAGCTTTAGCCCTGTAAACAAAAAAGCATGGAGTGTCATGATATAAAGTCATGCCATTTGGCACAGGTCTTGTTTCAGGGACTGACCATGCATTGCACCACCTGGAGCCCATGGCCACTGCTCAGTCACTCAGAGACAGCGGAGCTGCAACCACCTTTGAGTAACTCCAGGTTTGGCAGCACTGGGTGCACTGCTCTGCTCTTGCTGCACAGCACCCCAATGGTTCCTAAAGGAGCTTCCAGACAACACCATTCAGCTTTAGTCAGAGTCCCATTTAGATTCTCAGTCAGCATCCAGGAAACCACACAATTCCTTCCATTTCACTGTGAAACGCAGACCTGTTCTCACCTCTCTGACATCATCTGTTCCAAATCAACACACTCTCTCTGCTGATACTCCTTCAGTAGCTTGTCTGCATGATCTGTATCAAGGAAACCCATGTAGTCTTCCTCATCCACAACATTAATGTAGAAGGGCTGGAACACAGGAGCTGAAGCAGCCATTGCCATCACCACGTCCTCCCTGGCTGCAGGATGTGTGTCCTGGGCTCCTGGGCCATCCGTGTCCTCCCTGGCTGCAGGATGTGTGTCCTGGGCTCCTGGGCCATCCGTGTCCTCCCTGGCTGCAGGATGTGTGTCCTGGGCTCCTGGGCCATTGGCAGGCTCAGACAGGTGCAGCTGCTGGAGCTGGCATGCACACTCCACCTTGCTGCTCACAGCTTCCTTCAGGCCAAGCAGCTCAAGGGAGGCACATGCAGGAGCCTCTGCTCCATCACAGGCTCCCCAGTCATCTGCATCTTCACACCAATCCTTCGCAGCTAAGTTTGATTCTTGTTTCTGAGAATCAAAAAAAAAAGGGGGAAGAGAACATTGCCAAGGTCTGCCACCCTGATGCACTTCAAATCCAGCTTCTCACAGATGGGAGAACTGAGACCTCAACCTAATGCTGTGTTACTGCACCTACTCTCCTCACTGCGGTACTCTCCAACAAACCACGTTTACTTCCCAGCCCAGCAGTTAGAGCAAAACCACCTCACACTGGAGAATCTGAGCAAGAATTCATCAGCCCTCTGAGTGGCCCTGGTGCCTCCTGCTGCCATCCCTGGCTGTGGCACAGCCCCCGCCAGCTGAAACAGCTACTGCACCCAACAGGAATTCTGCACCCAACGGGCAGAACACAAGGAAATAATAAAACACCGCCATCATTTTACCAGAGTAAAAGCCCATTTATCACAGGCCAAGATTCCACATTGCAAATGCACCCACTGAATACCAATCTCCCTGCCTGCCTCCTGCCACTAGCTTGGTGCCACCCTACTCTTCCAACCTGCTTTAGCCAACATTCCTCACAAGTATATTAATAATTATTGAGTCACATTAATTCAAAAGCTCGTGTTAAATTCAAATATATAATTTAAAAGAGAAGACAAAGAAAACAGGTTAAAAATCCAAACCTAAACAGTACAGCCAAATCCACTTGAAGTTGGAAAATAAAGTTTTGTCAACTAAACTATTAAGTATCATTTTGGTCATGCAGCTACACTGCAATGTCCCCTTTAAAACCAACCTGGCACAGATCGCAAACAGCAGCTTAAACACTATTTAACTGTCTTATAGTAAAGAGCCTAGTGCAGCGACACAAACTCCGTGCCCAGGGCTGCCCCACAGGCACAGCCCGTGACAGGAACCGAGCGGAGCTGCTGCAGCGGTCACGGCTCTGCAAACGAGGGGATGCAGGCTGTGCAACGCCTGCATCTCAGAGCGCACCCCCGCAGCCCGGGCAGGCCGGGCCGGGCCGGGCCGAGCCGAGCCGAGCCGTACCTGCTTGACGCCGACAGCTCGGCTCTGTTTATCCTGGGCCTGCGAGTACTGGGAGCGCAGCACCTTCCAGCTTCCACGGGCCGGGCAAAGAGAAACACAGGGTGAGTGGGACAGCCGACCGGCGGCAGGAATAACAACAATAACAGCAATAACAGCAACAACAGCAATAACAGCAATAACAACAACAACAGCAGCAATAACAACAACAACAGCAATAACAACAGCAATAACAGCGAGGAGCGCCCCGGCCCCGGGCTCACCTGCGGGCGGCTCCCCAGCAGCGCGGCGCGGCGCAGGCGAACACGTGGAGCGCGCGGTGCGCGGGGCCGCGCTCCAGCGGGCAGTACACCTGCACCAGCAGCAGCAGCGCCCGCCCGCACCGCGCGCACCGCGGCGGGCCCGCCCACACTGGGGACATCGGGGACCCCTTGGGGACACTGTGACACCCCTGGGGACACCGAGGTGACACCGTGACCTCCGTGCCACCTGTGCGCGCCCGCGGGCCGGGCGTTCCCCTCACGGCGCGGCGAGGCCGAGCCCCGGCCAGGGCGCACGGGCTGGCCCCGGAGCGGCCCTTCCCCGCCCGAGTCCCGGCACTGATTCACCCGCACTCCTGCGCTCAGAGGCACGGGGTGGCAAATCCACGAAGCGAGCAGCACGACCGGCCAAACTTTCCACTACTTTCACCTTTAAGCAAACAAAGACATGAATGTGTATTGGTTACAAGGTACGTAGTTCCCCTAACAATTAGTATTCTCTCTTCTGTTGGTTAATGAGTGTCTCATTGTGCTCATCCCTGCCATGCTGTCTCTCCTCCCGTGGCTCGCTGCTTTCCTGGGCGCTGCTCCAGGGCTCGGTGCTCCTGTCCCGCCCCTGCCGCAATTCCCCTGGGCCCACTCGGAGCTGGTTCCACAGTCACTGAGCTGCCTTGGTTCCTTTCTGCCTTATCCTGGGGGTTCTGACCAACGTCCTCGTGCCCCCCGAATTCTGCATTCCTCGTGTATCGATGGAAATCCTTCTCCCGAGCTCTGTTTGCTCTCACGGGGCAGAGATTGGAACATGTCCAGCCCCAAACCTTAACAAGGGTTAACAATTCCGCTGACCAGGAATTTGTGTTTCTAACACCTGGACATCACTAAGAGCTTGTTGGACTCTCTTCAGGTCCTGCACAGAAACCTGTAAGATTTATACCTGAAACCATTTAAGTGGAAGGAAGTATCTGGGCACGTTTCTGACTCCTCATGTGTGACTTGACCTCGCAATTGGACTCCGTCAATTAAGTGAAATAAAAGGTAGTTCCAAAAAATCAAAGCAACATTTATTTATAACAATAACAAAGCAATAAAACAGGTAGAGATTTTCTGTCCTCTTTTGTGAGAGGTCAAGCCCACCTCACAGGTGTAGTGTCAGGGATGCTCTTCTCTGCTGCCTACAAGCTATTTCCAGTTAAAGAAAGCAGAAAGAGTCTCTAGGAGGGACAACTGACCATGCTCTTCTGCAAGAAGAAGGGCAGAAGCATATAAAATAGTCTGACACGTAGGGTATATTCTGTATTGATCATTTCCTATCGATTTCAGTTCATTTGCCCATTCCCACCTCAGTATTCACTTTTGATATGCACTGAGTAGGAACCATGGTCTGTCTGGACCTGGAAAGATTGTGGGGGTTTTTTCTGCTTGCTTCATTAAATAGTGATTTTCAGTCTGGCAAACATTCCAAATGCCCCTTGTTTCTCTCCCTCCAGTGTGATTAGGACAGCAGATTACACAACAGTGAGTTAGAAGGTGATTATTACTCTGTATGCTGACAAACTCATTTTCTCTGACTTTCCATTGGGTTTTAAAGCAAACTGTACCCTTCATGGATCTTATAAATCTGTGTGTTTTCTCCTTCCAGTCTGACTTTGTTTCGTGAGCTGTGCCCAAAACTCCACTCTGTGTTCTTTCAGTTTCTCTGCTGCCTTTTGCTCCAGGTCTATTCCCAGGTATTTTTCCTCCAGGCCATACTGAGGCCAATGGACCAAGCCCTCTCCGTTGGGATTCCTGGAAATAATAGGAGGAAAAGTTAGCTCTCCACTTGCCAATCCATTGCTCTCTGGCTGCTCAGGTTCAGAGCATTTCAGAAAGCCAGCAGGTGAGCCCAGCTGATGTGATTCTGGTACCTGAATAAATTGGCAGTATTGTTTGAAAAGGCTCATCAGTGGAACAGCAAAAATGTAAAAGTTGCCATTAACTTTAGATCTAAAACTCCTTTGCAGATGGAGTAACTGCTCTTAGATTTTTTTCTTCCTCATGTCTGCAGGTTCCATTAAAAGACCATTAGGAGGGGAAATTGCTTCAATATTTATCTTAAATTGTGCCAAATTTCTAGGAACCACCATATAAGTACTGCTTGAGGCAGGCAAGTATGTTGTGGGCAGCACAGACTGAACTTGAGCTGTAATTAGCATAGTGATTCTCACCCATTTTTAGCAAAGTTGGTCCAGTATCTCATAACAGTTCTGCTGAGTTCATTTTCTTCTTTTGTAGCACCTCCTGCAAAGGGAGAGATGAAAGGGCCACATTAGAAAATAAAAAATGAGGATGAGCTATATCAATTGCAACACTTCTCCTGGTTGCCCTGAGCTCTTGGAGGTGTTTCCAGGACAGACCTGCAGATGAATGATGTAATGGAAAGGATCTGCTACTGAAGACAGAAGATGTTTATGCTCATAGTAATGCTTATGATATGTAAGGTATGCTTATTGTATGTATATGGTTTTTAATGCTTATAAGAGAGAAATTCCATTCTAAGGGCTGTTAGTAATTGAAATGAGTAATAGATATGAGGTTCTAAAAGGAATATGGAGTAACTATGGGTACATCACCAGCTAAGAATGGCTTTCCAAAGACAAAGGCAATCTCAGCTCCATGATCTGCTTTGACAAACTCTGGTACCAAACCTTCCGCTGAACTCGGTCGATGTTGGAACTCATAAAAGTAGACTGGGTTGCCAGCATCTAGAGGATACAGAAAAGTGCTGGTTTGAGAGCTGAAAATACTGCTCCAAAGATGATAAACTTTCATCAAAAACCGTTTTGCTTAAATGAAACCACTACCAGTTCTCTGGATAGTGAGAAGTGCTGCACACTGTCCCCGGCACCCCCAGATCGAATTCTACAGCTGCTCTGAAGCTGCTGGGTTACCTCTGTGGTGTCTGGCCACCTCCACAGCTGAGATGACAAAGTAGACATCTCCCATTGCATCCAGGAGGCCATCTCGGACCTGGGCAGGGCTTTCTGCATCCCCCATGTACTCCTTGTACACTCTGTCCACAACTTCAGACGTGAGGCCCTGCAACAGCAATGAAAGCCATTACAGTGATGATGAATATCAGAGGGAGTAACAGCAGTGGGTGAGTGTGGCCTCTGCACATCCCTGGCTAATCCCCAAACAACAGCTTTCAGAGAAAACCCCCAGCTGTGTCAGAGTGTGCCTGGGAGCTCAGATTGCAGTTACACAGCTATGCATACAGGTGATCTCAGGGAGAGAGGGCTATTTGCTTCTAAAAGAAGTTCAGATTTTTACTGCAGTTCCAACGTGAAGCCAAATGAAAACAGAAGAAATAATGTTATCCAAACCATCTTAACATTTCTCTGACTGATTTTCTGCACTAGGCAAGAGGTCCTGTGAAGACTGTCATTATATTTCTAATGTTTCTGAAGCAGAAATCATTATGTTGAATTTACATATTTTCTTAGTTCAATATGGCCATGGATGTGTGGAACAGTGGGTAAAAAACCACTGCTGTATTGAAGATTCAAAGGCACATAAGCGTTGTGATAAGAACTTTTAAGTAGGACATAATATATGGTTTGATTTTCAGGTCCTCCAGAATCATCTGTGCCATTTTCTTTTCCTTGCCCTGGCAGCACTGTGGCAGGCACAGGGCCTGCAATGCCTCCCTGGTGGTCAGTTGCCTAAGATAAGAAATGCCAAATCATGACAACTGGATTAAAGAAGCCCCTCTCTTCTGCCTTTGGACCCTTGTTATCTCTCTGTGAGACCATAGGTCATATTCACCTCGACCCTCACTGTTGGAGTGTTTCCCAAAACCCCTACACCTACATAAACACCCACTTCTGCCCCGTTCTGGAGAAGAGCTGTCACTGTGACCCTTTGCAGAAGCTGCCAATAGAGACACCTCTGTGGAACCTCACACAACTCTTCTCCTCTCTCCTGCGTGTGCCGAGGCACTCAGCAAGCAAAGAGCTGAAATCATTATAGAGCTGAATTCACCAACGAGCTGATCTCACTGAAGAGCTGAGCTGCTTGCTAAGATTGCCCGTGGCTGGGAGCCTGCCTGGGACACCTGGCCAGGTTGTGCTCAGTGGTACTTCACTATCTGGGACACCTACAGCAGCCAGGGTCAGACAGAGCCCGAGAACCCCCTGCTGTAATAAAAACAGCACAACAGCAAGGCACAGGTAACGCCATGTGCATGCAGAATGGAAGGGCAGGAACCTGTTTGCACTTTGCAGGCAAGAATTCACTGCACATCTGTCATTTATGTGCTGAACAAGTCAAGAAAGTCAGATTTTATATCCCCTTCAGGTTCTCCTACTATTACATCCCACAAAGAGTATTCTCTGGGATGATACTGGCATCAAACAGGAGTGGAAGAGAAGAGTATTCAGAGTCTGGTGCCATTTTCCAGCCAAAAAGTGTAAGTTGAGGTTTTTTGAAGACACTACATGTTACCATATTCCTTTCCATTTCATTCTGCACTCTTTGTGGATATTTGGGTGTTTGAAAAGCAACACATGATTACACATGTACTGTTTGCACACAGAATTACTGTCTTTAATGATGGTCTGTTTTGTTTCCCAAGAAGGAAACCATGTTTCAGTATTTTGGATTGAACAGTTTAAGATATGCAGAACTGTCAGGAAAAAAGAATTAAAATTACCACCAATACCCACTTGTGCATCCTCTTTAGGCTGGTCAGTGAAGAAGCCCAGGGCTGCAGTGCCACTCTCTGAAATGGCCTTGTGGAACAAGCCCTTGGCCAGGGGAGATAAGACCTGTGAAAAAGCAAGGAGAAGCATGACAAGCACTGTGTTCTCCCAGGGGTTTTGGGTTTCAGGATCAGCAGTGGCCATGTGGAGCATTTTGAAAGCCCACGTGGTAAGAGTGTCCTTGTGCAGGCTCTGACCAAAGTCCAGCGAGCAAAGTGCTTGGGCAGCGCTGGCAGGGATGGGGAGTTCAGGGCCTTTGCCCTCCCCCTGCACTTTGCTTCCAGCGCCTGCCAGCACCACACTGCAGGGCAGGCACAGATGGGATGTGCCCGAGGCACTCTGGCTCTGCTGCAGGAGGGCAGCAAAGAGCTTTTGGCCAGAGGAAACAGGGATGTGTGTGCCAAGTGCAATGGAGCCTGGCTGGGCGGTGTGACCTGTGCCAAAGGGGGAGGGACTGCAGAAGGAGAGTGTCACAGCCAATGTGCTCCGTGTTGGAGTAAAGATTTTACACAGTCACAGGGTCACAAACTGCAGGGCTGCATCAGCTACCAGGACTATTCACCTCAATCACTTGGCACAAGTGGCTGTCAAAGCAAACGGGAAATGGGCAAGAGTCCACAACTCCTGCTAAAGGACTTTTCTCATGTGATTAGACTTTGAGGGTTTCTGATTTTTTTTTTAACCCACAACAACCAGAGTTTAATACAACAGTTGAGTAATAGCATTCTGTTACTTAACTACAACATTTTTACAGTAAACAACAGAAAACCAAACCGACTAGAATTTAATTCAGCAGATGAGTAATAGCATTCTGTTACTTAACTACAACATTTGAGTATGAAAATGACACATTTTTATCATCCAAAATCTGGGTTATTTTGCCTTGTTATTGTGTCAAAGACCCAGGTGATGTGTCACTGTAACACCATCCCTTTTCTCTCGCTGGCTTCCCATGCAGATACTGAAAATGGATGGAGGGTTATTTCCACTAAGTAATTACAGTTCAATATTACTGTGAACTTACAAGAGCAGAAACACTGATTCCTCCTGCAGATCCTCCAAAGATAGTGACAGATCCTGGATCTCCTCCAAAATGCAGGATATTTTCCTGAATCCACCGAAGAGCCGCCACTTGGTCTAAATATCCCCAGTTACCTCGGGCATGCTCATCACCAGTGCTGCAGGGAGAGCACAGAGGTGTTCAAATGCTCAATGCAAGCAGAGAGGCAGAGGAAGATACAATCTGTGCTCTGAGAAATCATCTGCCATTCTCTACACAGAAGTTCCCTACACGACAGACAAACGGATGGCTCGGGAAGCCCTGAGATTGGAGCAGCAGCCCCACAAGAACAGATCTGGAAGCTGCCTTGGGACTGCAAATTGTCCCCAGTGCTTGTAGGTGCAGTTCAGAAATGTTTCTTTGCATAAGCAAGTCTTCTGCATGTCTTTTTACAAAGGCTTTGCACACATCCTTTTGGAAATCACTTTGGACAAATTGAGATCCACCAACTTACCTAAAATACCCAGCAATACCCAGTCTGTACTGAATTGCTACAACCACCACGTTGTCCAAGGCTGCTAATGCTGAGCCATCATATGATGAACCTGCTCCAACAACCAATGCACCTCCATGAATCCATACCAAAACCTGCAAAAAGAAAAAGAGGATCAGCCCAGCACAGGTAAGTGCCCCCAGTGATAAAAACTAAATATACCCTAAGATATAACATTTTGTGCTATTTCTCTGCTGATTTTCCTTCACATTCGACTTCACTAATTGTAGAAATCGTTAAAATCTATGGCCTACAGGGCTACAAAATGGCACTGAGTTTGTTAAATGCCTGCACTGTGTCAGTGCTTTGATTCTTTCAGATTACATTTCCGAAATTGTAGAAATCTTTAAAGACATGCAGGGCTGCAAAATGGCACTGAGTTTGTTAAATGCCTGCACTGTGTCAGTGCCCTGTGAATTTGGACAGATCATTTAGATTAAATCAAGCACTGCTTCCCTACATGCCAATACAATTTTACTTGTAAAATAGGATTTTGTGTCTCCTTTCAATTTCAGCTAATATTTGCTGGGACAAAGCATGTAAGTTGAGCATCACTACAAAAGTGCCCCTGCCTGTCTGCTCATGGCAGAGGTTGAAGGTTTGCTGTTAGATCATTTTGCTCAAGGTGTTATAAGGGTTTTGCTTACAGGCAGCTTCTCCTGTTTTCCTGCAGAAACAGGTGTGTACACATTTAGGTACAAGCAATCCTCAGACACTTGCAGAGGAACTTTCTCTTTTCTGTTGGTAACCATATTTGAAATTAACTGTCCTTGTACTTGGTCCTGTAGACACCTGAATGAATAAAAAAGTAAGAAGCAAGAGAGAATTCACTAAAACCTGAAAGCTGTGAAGAGAAGCCTTTTTGGTACTTCCACAACAATGTGCCAAGCAGGAACTGATCTTTGCTCAAGGTGTTTTAAGGGTTTTGCTTACAGGCAGCTTCTCCTGTTTTCCTGCAGAAACAGGTGTGTACACATTTAGGTACAAGCAATCCTCAGACACTTGCAGAGGAACTTTCTCTTTTCTGTTGGTAATTATGTCTGAAAAATGCTGTCCTTGTACGTGGTCCTGTAGACACCTGAATAAATGAAAAAGAAAGAAGCAAGAGAGAAATCACTAAAACCTGAAAGCTGTGAAGAGAATGGTTTTTGGTATTTCCACAACAATGTGCCAAGCAGGAACTGATCTCCAGCTCCATTCTAGACTGGTATGTGAAATACATATGAAAATAGAAATGAATCATTTTACATCCCCAACAGCTTTTTACATTGCAATGGGAGATTTCAGCCCTGAGACACTGAACAAGGGCAGTAGGACAATGGGAGTGAGACATTTACAAGGTAGGTCAGATTTGTTGTGCATTTCTTATGTGCTCTTTTAAGCACTTGACTCAGCATTTTGCCCTCGTGTTGCATTCCAACATTTCCTCAGCTGCTCTCTGTCTCTGCTCCAAAGGTTTCTAGTGATTGGTGAGTGATGGGCAAGTGCTCCTGAGCCAGAGCATTGTCTGTCAGTGCTGCTCCATCTCAGTTCATCACTGCTGCCTGGGAAAGAGCAGCTTTTGGGACAGAGAGCAGCTCACAGAGTGTCTTTAGAAATGCATGCACTGGAACAGCTGCAGGTGCAATGAGGGGGCACCAAGGCATTTGCCTTCATGGATGGCCCTGTGTGCACAGCAGTGTCATGGAAGTGCAGAGCTGGACATGGGGAAAGGTTCCGTGTTTGATCGTGGCCTTACATTGGTGGGTAGGAAGTGGCATCTCTGACACCTTGCCATGGCTCCGGGGGCTGGGGCTCAGAAAACCTCAGTGATCCAAGGGGAGGCTTAGCAAAAGGAAGTGCCAGAAAGACATTCACAGTCCTCTCAGCTGTGTCCACTCTGAACTGGTACCCTCGCACTCTCCCGTATTTGGTCTCCGCTTCTGGTTGTTCTGTGGGACAGCAGCAGAATCACAGAATCACATCATTGCTCTGCTTCTAAGTAATTGCTACATATGCTCCTTAAATATGCACCTTTTGTTCACTTAAACATGTAGTTTTTTTACGTAAAACTTCAACAATCTCTCATCAGCTTTATCAGCACACTCTTCTGATCTGTTTTTTTGTTTTATTCTTTTATTTACTAATTTGATTATTAGAGTTTACTTATTTCAATTTTAGATTTCCTTACTTATTCTAACACACTTTTATTGTGCCATTATAAAATCAGTATAGCTGACATTAGTCAGCCTTCATTTTGAGTTTTCTGTATGGCCATCTCCTTCAGGTATATAATACGTGTTGTCTTACCACACACACATTAGTGGTTGTGTAGAGATCTTAATCTTTTTTTTGCCCTGGGTTGTTAGATAAAAACCCAATAGATAGCTTGCATTAGGAAAAGACAATCAACAGAGAAAATCTATTCCTGACCCCTGAGAGTATGTACAGCCAAAAGAAAAAGCATCTAACACACCTAAAAATAGCCTGGCACAAGCAAATCCTAATAACATTTAAGCGTGACTCATTTTAGGATTTGAGTGAAAGTTCAAAAATTGAATTACAGACATTTTACTGTGGCTTCTTGGCATCAGCAGGCAAGATTTTAGGACAGGGATACGATTTTGGTATTCGCAAAGCAGGTTAGACATATGACTGAAAGGAGATCCAGAACTGAAACGAAATTTTGCTACTGCTGCTTAATTTGTGTGTCCATCTCTTCCCAAGGTTTGTGCCCATCCCGGCCCAGGGTTTGAGCCCATCCCAGCCCAGGGCTTGTTCCCAGCTAAGTCCAGGGTTTGAGCCCATCCCTGCTCAGGGTTTGAGCCCATCCCAGCCCAGGGTTTATTCCTATCCCTGCTCAGTATTTGTGCCCATCCCTGCCCAGGGTTTGAGCCCATCCTTGCCCAGGGCTTGTGCTCAGCTAAGTCCAGGGTTTGTGACATGCTCAGCCCAGGGTTTGAACCCCGGTCAGGGCACAGTTTGTGCCCATCCCAGCCCAGGGTTTGAGCCCGACTCAGCCCAGGCTTTGAGCCCATCCCAGCCCAGGGTTTGTGCCCATCCCTGCCCAGGGTTTGAGCCCGACTCAGCCCAGGCTTTGAGCCCATCCCAGCCCAGGGTTTGTGCCCATCCCTGCTCAGGGTTTGAGCCTGGCTCAGTCCAGGGTTTGTGCCCATCACTGCTCAGGGTTTGAGCAGATCCCTGCCCAGGGTTTGTGCCCATCCCAGCCCAGGGTTTGAGCCCATCCCTGCCCAGGCTTTGAGCCCAGCTCAGCCCAGGTTTTGAGCCCATCCTGCCCAGGGTTTGAGCCCATCCCAGCCCAGGGTTTGAGCCCATCCCTGCCCAGGCTTTGAGCCCATCCCTGCCCAGGCTTGGAGCCCCGCAGGCCGCTGCAGGTGCCCTGTCCCCTCCGGGCGCCGAGGGCAGCAGCCCCGGTGTTACCTGCGGCCAGCAGCGCCGTGCCCCCGAGGAAGAGGATCCAGGCCAGCAGCGCCGTGTCCCTCGCAGCTGCCATGGTGCCGCTGGCACCGGGCCCGCGGGCCGGGCCTTTATGGGCTCGGCCCGGGCCCTTACGCAAGGCAGCCGCGGCTGAGGCGAGGGAGCGCCCGGGCTGCGAGCCAGGACGGGGCTGCCGGGCTCGGGCCGGGCTCGGGGAGCCCTCCTGCCCCCGGGGCTGCCGCTGCCTCCCCGCTGCTCCTTGCCAGCGGCATTCCCAGCCTGCCGGGCACAGCGGGCTCCGGTGCTTTGGGAGCAGCCCGGCCCTGGCGGCAGCGGTGTCCGGCTGCGGCCCCGGGGCAGCCTCTGCTCAGCCCCGGCACAGAGCTGCGAGGCACCGCGGCTCTGCTGGCTGCATCTGCTGCGTGTCTGTGAGGGTCTGCGCTGGGGAGCACGATCGAGCCGAGGCCAAACCAACCGCCCGGGAAAGTCTGCTTTTGCTGAAGTAAACTCGAGCCATTTTTATGCTCAGAAAAGCATCTTTCGGACAAAAGCACCAATACTGGAAAAATCCCAGCTTTTCCTGCAGGGTGCAGGAGACACCTGTCACTCAGTTCGGTGTGTCCAGGGATGTTTGCAATAGTGTTGCAATGCAGTGACAAGAAGAAAGAGGTGAATGATCAGCTTTTGTCAAGTGGGAGCAATATGAAAGGGTGGTATTTGGGTGGTAACTCCATATCTTACACATGTGCAAAATCCAGAGGATTGATTTCAATACATTCCACATGTATCATTGAAGGATGACATGAAAAGGAGAGAACAGATTAGCTGAGCAGAGATTTTCTGCTCACATTACCTGGGAGGTTGTGTTGGTTTTGTGCAGGTATTAGGCTCTGCCTTCTTATTTTTTTTCTTCTCCTGACTCAGGAAGAGTCTTGCCACAGCTCTTGCCCCAGACAGGCAGATTTGCAATTTCAGGTCATGTGAATTCTCAGTTGTCAGAAGCAGCATTTCAAAGAATCAGCTGATATGATGACAGAGTGGTTTGGGTTGGAAGAAACCACCCAGCTCTACTGATGCCACCTCTGCCATGGGCAGGGACACCTTTGTGTCCAAGCTGGCCTTGGGCACTGCCAGGGATGGGGCAGCCACAGCTGCTCTGGGCAGCTCGTGCCAGAGCCTCAGCACCCTCAGAGAGGGGAATTTCTTCTGTCCCTCTGATTGAAACCTGCCTTAGTTGGCTTGAAGCCCTTCCCCCTTGTCCTGTTGCTACCTGCCCTTGGCAAATGCCCCTCTCCATTTTTCTTGTAGGCTGCCTTGGGCTACTGCCAGGGGCTCTGAGGCCTCCCCAGAGCCTTCTCCTGTCCAGGCTGAACAGCCCAGCTCTCTCAGCCTGTCTGCACAGGAGAGTGCTCCATTCCTCCAGATCCACTCCTGCTCACACCTCTCTTGACAGCTCAGTGGCTTACAAGACCCACAGTGCTTAAATGAGCTTAGCACATCTCTTGTGCTCCTGAGTCAATGCTGAGTGCTGTGGCTGGGCTTGTGCACTTTACTCCAAATGCTCCCTGTGCACTTTACTCCAGATCTTCCCCCATGTGTGTGCACAGGTGTGATTTACAGCCCCTGGAGATAAACGCCAGCCAGCTTTAACCCGGCTGCTCCCAGAGCAAACTGGTGGCAGGCCCTGCACTGCAGGTGACCCAAGCAGTGCTGGCTGTGTCTGCAGCCTGTGCTGGGTTTGTGGTGGCTGCTGAGCTGTGCCCCAGTGCCCTGCACGCCCTGCCAGGCTGTGCTGGGGTGCAGCTCCTGAGGCTGAGGGCACGGCCAGTGCTCACTGTGCACTGGCAGATGGAGAATGCTGTGAGGAAAACAATGAAGACAAAAACTTCTGTGCAGAGTGGCAATGAATTTGGCCCTATAGGTGTTCCCTACTCCACCTTTTGCCTTGGTTCTCAAGACTGACACTAAGGGTCTATAAAACTAGTCTGGGAGTAGTGTGCCCTGTTTGAATATATAGTCTATACTGTAATGACAAATGTGTGATTTGTATAATGCAATTAATGGTAGAGGGGTTGGGGGTGCCAGTGATGGAGCTGAGAATAACTTACCTTTTATCTGTATCTGTGTGATGAAGGTTTCTGAGACACCTCAGAAGCACTGCACAGGGGTAAACTCTGCAGTTCTGTTTGCGTGCATGGGTGCTGCTGTGAATTCTCTCACTCTCCTCTTTCCTGGGATTGTTTTGGTTCCTGGCATAGGAAAACCCTTTTCATGCAAGGTGGAACTGCAGGAATCCCTTATTTTTGGCTCAGCTCCCACAGTGGTGGGCATTCATGCCTCAGCTGACTCATGACACACGAGCTACAGGAGGGGTTCTTTGCTGCAAAGCCAAATATCCTGTACTGGATAGGAGTACAGTAGAGTACAGCACCTGCTGCTCTCTCCTTTTGCTGTAACAAACTTGATTTCCAAACCAAATTTATCTTCTATGACCTTATCTTTGATGACTTTACTAGACTCCATATTTTCCCATTTTCTTTCATTTTCCCATTTACTTTCATTTCCCCCCTTCATTACTATTTGAATTTCCAAGCTTTTCTCTTCAGTCTTTGTTATACTCACTACTTCTTTCTCAAGTACCCAGTCTGCAACAACTCTGAGCCCATATCCCATCCACAGGCCTGGGGAAGCAGCCATTTTGAAAACAGGACAGGTGCAAACCAGTGTCTGCAAACTCTGCCCGTCTTACCTACAGTAAGATAACAAAAAATGGGGTTTTAGATCCCTACAGCCTTGTCTGGAGATACTTTGGTGGATCTGCAAGCCTGGCCTATGTGCTTTGCAAATGTGGAGACTCTTACTCCAGTGACAGAGACTTGTAGAATCTGAGGACAGTGCTACATACTGGTGAGCATGATTCTTGAATCCTGTTTGACATTAAATTAAAGAGATTTTACAGCTTGCCCTCAATCAGTGACTAATGTATAAGTCAAGGGTCAATGAAAAAATCCTGCCACATGATGACCTTTGCCTCTTTGTACTGTAATAAACTGCTTCCTGTCCTGATTTCAATAGCTGGAAAAAAATTAGACAAATATCACAGCCCCTGCTGAGAATTCAGTGAAACTACAGCATATAAAACTTAGAGCTAGAGCCTCTGAAGCTTGGACAGCTTTACTACATGCTAAGGAAACAGTGTGAATCTCAGCTCAGGAGACAAGAGCATCACAGTGCTTATCTCTACATAGAAATGAGTAAGATCTTCTGACATTTTCCACCGTGATTTATTTTTAGTGCTGGCCTGTGCTAGGAAGTCAATTCAACTGCACTTCTCTGCATACACAAGATGAGCATGTATTCTGTGCACAGCCATACAACACTGCCTGTTAATCTCCTTTTAAAAGAAGTGGCACAACACTTCAAGGGTTTGTGCAATGAAGATTTAGCATGACTGTTTTGAAATTATATTCCCTTCACACAACAATGGAGGTAAAGCAAAGAAGCAAGGACAGATGTTTAGAAGGAAGTTCTGCTTATCAAATCTGCACTGGTAGAACAGTCTCACCCTGCTCCTGAGTTCTGCCTGGCAACAGGACTTGGACAAGAAGATGTAGAAAATCCCACCCTACTTCTTCCAGTAAAGTAATTTGGAAAGAAGGGATGGGTAGCTAGTTGCTGTAGGACTTATTAGCCATGAACAATTAAAAATTCTTCCAGAGACATAGAGGGGAGCTGAAGGGAGGTGGAAATGATGTTCATTGCCCTGTAGGACTTGTGGAGCTGCATCACTGCTGTGAGGCACCAGTGTGACCAGGAAATCACAGAATCACAAAATCACGAGGTTGGAAGACACTTTCAAGATCATCGAGTCCAACCTCTGCCCTGACACCTCAACTAAACCCTGGCACCCAGTGCCACATCCTGTTGTTTTTAAACACACCCAGGGATGGTGACTCCACCACCTCCCCGGGCAGCCATTACAGACCTTTAGCACTCTTTCTGTAAAAATCTTTTTCCTAATATCCAACCTCTGCTTCCCTTGGTGCAGCTTGAGACTGTGACCTCTGGTTCTGATCTTGCCAGGCACTGAGGTCAGGCTGACTGGCCTATAATTACCAGGATCCTCCTTCCCACCCTTGTTGTGAATGGGCGTCACATTGGGTAGCTTCCAATGATCTGGAACCTCCCCAGCAAGCCAGGACTGCTGGTAAATGATGGAGAGCAGCTTGGCAAGCTCATCTGCCAGCTCCCTCATACCCCAGGATTTATCCCATCTAGGCCCAGGGATTTATGAATATCCAAGCATCTCAGAAGTTCTCTGGCTGCCTCCTCTTGGATAATGGGGGGACCATCCTGTTCCCTGGCCCCATCAACCAACCCAAGAGGACAGTTGTCCTGGGCACAAGCTGTCTTACCACTAAAGACTGAGGCAAAGAAGGCATTAAGCACTTCTGCCTTCTCACCTGCAGTCACTAAGTTCCCTCTCGCATCCAGTAAAGAACAAAGGTTGGTCTTACCCTTCCTTTCGCCATTAATATATTTGTAAAAACATTTTTTATTATCCTTTACAGAAGTCACCATTTTAAGTTCAAACTGAGCTTTGGCCTCCCTAATTTTTTTCCTACATGCCCTAGCAATCCCCTTAAATATTTCCTGAGAGCCCTGACCCTCCTTCCAAAGATGATACATCCTCCTTTTATTCCTAAGTTCCTTCAAAACCTTGTTGCCCATCCAGGCTGGATGTTTGCCTCATTGCCTCATCTTTTGGCACACAGGAACAGTCTGCTCCTGTGCCCTCAAGATCTCTATTTTGAAGCATGCCCACCTTTTCTGAACTCCTTTGTTTTTAAGGGCTGCTTCCCAAGGAACTCTCTGAATAAGTTTCATAAGTAGGCCAAAGTCTGCCCTCCTGAAGTCTAGTGTAAAAATCTTATTAAAAATTCCTCCTCATTTGACCAGATATTGAGAACTCTATAATTTCATGATCACTCTGTCCCAAGCAGCCTCCAACCACCACATCTCCCACCAGCCCATCTCTATTTGCAAATAACAGGTCTAACATAGTCCCTCCCCTGGTGGGCCCACCCACCAACTGTGACAAAAAAGTTGTCCTCCATATACTCTAATGTCGGAACCCAGGACATCTCTCTGGATGCCCTGGATGTCTCACAGCCCTGGCAGGGGCTCAGAGACCCTGGCAGGAAGCCAAAGACACCTGGAAATTCAATCTTAATTCATGGAGCAATTGCCAACCTTATATCCT